CGAAACACAGTAAATAAATTTTAAAAACATATAATGAAAAACTAAAATTCAAATTCGATATAATTTTAATAAGGATTTTTCTATAGTAATTTAATATTTTAGTTTAGTGAGATCCTTGCACTGGATGCTTGCTGAACAGAGATTTCATGTTAGGTTCCAATTTGGTTAGCTTAAGTCTCCTCGTTGTGTTATATCCAGACGATTTCTTTTTTTACCAGTAAATCATTTACAGCACTAAATCCACATTCAGCAAAATATGAAGATGGAAGCGGTAACAATAGTTTTCTTGCACATTTGGTTGAATTCGGGTATTTGATTTCTGTTTCCTGGCAAACCCATGTCATTACTCCTTTTATATTAAATGAAGTCTTAACTGACTCATCATTCTGCGAGTTCTTCTTGAAACTGCATATTTGATATGTCAGACAAATCCACTAACATTGGCTGCATCATTCATGATGGTTGTTGTAGTTAATTTACGTCGCACTAGATCTGCACAATGAGCTATTGGCGTCGGTCTGGGAAACTTCCCTGAGGATTATCCGAAGACAAGCCATCACAATTTTGATCCTCTGCAGAGGGGATGGCGCCCCAGCTTCGGTAGCCCATTAACCTGCACGCGAAGTTGAGCACTTTATGGTAGAACAGTTTAACGAGGACCTATACCGCTCACCCTCGGTCTCTACGCAGACTGATCCAAGTGGTCTCCCACCCGCACACTGACCGCAGCCAGTGATGCTTGACTTCGGTGATCTTCTGGGAACCGTGTCTTAACGATCAGTGCACTGCGGGACTCATCCATGTTGGAAAATCAATTTATTTTAAATCAGAAAATCTTTTTTTAAATCAGTTGATAGAATTTTTTAATGACAATAACAAGTAAAGCGGTATCATTTACTTCACATTTTTGGAGCCAATGAAACTGTTTAAAGTTTTTGTTGTTAATATATTTCTGACATAACTCAATAAAGGCAATGAAACCAAATATCGTGGCTTTTGTATCAACAAGAGTTTTATTTGTTCCTTGAAGTCGCTTATTTAATAAATTTAGTTTTTCAAAGATATCGGCTAAATAACTTACAAATGCTTTACCATCTACAGTTAACAGATACTTCATTTCAGGTTTGTCGCTTAAAAAATCACTAAGAGTATCAAACAATTCCATAAATCTTTTCAAGCAGTTCCTTTTTGAGAGCAATCTTACTTCAGTGTGAGGTAAAGGTCTCACATGGTCTGCCTTTTGTTCTTCACAGAACAGCTTGAAGAGACGCTCACATTTGGCTTTAGCTTTAATAGCATTGATACCCTTTATTACTGATATGTAGTACTTCATTTAGAACAGGCGAGATGTTTTTAGCTACCAAGTTTTCCCTGTGAATAACACAATGCACAAGAATCATTTCTGGATTCTCATCTTTCATCAATTTTAAGCAACCATTTTTTTTGCCCATCATATTAGAAGCACCATCTGCAGCACAAGGTGTTATATTTTTCATTGGTATATTATTGACATCTAAGTAGTTTTTTAGCTTATTATATATATCTTTGGAGGTAATGGTGCTTTCTAATCTTTTACTGAACAATATTTATACAGCAAAATGCCGTTTATCAATATATCTTACGTAAGTTATCAATACTGCCACACTGTCTATCAAAGTTGATTCATCCATTTGCATTGAGAATTTTCTTGCTTTCAACTTTTCAACAAGTTGTTTCTCAATATCTTCACTCATTTCGTCTATTCTTCAGATGCGAACAACTGCATTGTTTAGCGAGATTTTAAAGCGTGCGGGGATCCACGCGAAGCCTGCCGTCTGCCGCAGGGAAGTTAACGTAACGACGCCAAAAACCCAGTTGAAATTTTGGTATCGTCAAACAAATTTATAATATTTATTGACCGCAACTTATTTAAGAATCTGCTTTTTTCTTTCAATTTTGGCACCGAAATCTAGCATTGTATTTAAATGGCCCGGGGCAAGAAGGGTTAAACTCGGGTCGAGTCCACTTTCGAATTGCCCCCCTTAACAATCAAAATGCCCCCCATCGGGGCGTGGGCCCCACGTTGGGAAACACTGGTTTAGACACTGATGATGAACAAAGTAGCATGGTAGTTCGATAAAAGCATGGTAGTTTTATGGAAACGTGTTTAAATGATCATTAGATATTTTTTTGTTTTAATCACCAATAATTTCTGTTCCTCTGAGAGGATAATCTCCACCCACTGAAAAAACGTGAGAGTGGTCAGCAGTGACCACTATAAGAGTATCTTCTTCATCGACAATGTCTATGGCTTTCTGTATGGCTTGATCAAATTCAACTCCTTCTTCGAGAGCTTTCATTGCCCAGTTCTTGTGATGTGCGAGATCGATTTTCCCACCTAAAACAGTATGCAATGTTATTAAAAAATTTATTAAAAACATAAAACATTGTTGTTTTCTCTTTTTTTTTTTTTTTAATGGGCATTATTTTTTTCCCTCAGGACATTTTTTTCTCGTGTTCATTAATCATTAAATGTTACTTAGCCAATCAATTTGATTTCTCTAATAATATATTCAAGAGCAAAAGTTTTTAACAATAACTGTTTTTATCTAAGATATATTATTAAAATTAACCGCAATAACAATCAAGATCCATGAGTCAGATACATTAATTTCACCCCACTTAGCGTTTTATTCAAAGTTCAGGAAACAAATAGTAAAAGAGATAATGATTCATAACTTGAAAATACTGTCCACAACGAGAAAAAAATATGGTCAAAACTACCAGAATATGATCAATGGAAAAAGAAGGGCTTGAGTAATGATTTTGGGAAAATTAACAGTAAAATAGTGTTTTATAATATGTAATATAATTTGGTAAATGCAGTAAAATTGGGAAATTTTATATTGATACCTAAGAGCATGGCAAAAAACCTGTTATTCGGCTAAATTTGTATTTAAAAATTTGCTCAGTTTGTATTTTTTTCCATGTGTGGTAATAAGAACTATAATTTTGAAAAATAGAATTTCTGATATACCGTTACAATTCAAACTGAAAAATTGCCAATTGAATGGTTCAAATACCTTATATTTTAGTTTCATTAACCAGAATTATGTTGTTTTTTTTACCAGGAATGCCATTACCATACAGTGCGGTAATTTTACCAGACTTTTTTTGTCTGTGGAAATAGGAGCTGTTTTAAAACAGTATTTTACTCGTTTATTTAATCGCATATCTTTAAATGTCATGTCTTTTAAAATCAAATTTGAAAATCAAGGAAACCTTCAAGTTCCTATGCTCATTTGCGAAGTTATAGTGGAACGTAGTTCAGCATTGTGTTTTTTGATAATGAACTATTACTAAATGAATGCCTTATTTCGCTTTAAATTTTGAAACACAAACACAAAGAATGCGGAAAGGAAAATATTAATACTGTGCACTTTTACGACAAGGAGTTTTAAAAGGTGACGCTAAATTCAATCGAGTCAATAATCTTCAATCTTGAGTACTTTTTCAAATTTAATTTCATAGCAAGTCAAGTTATTTAATCGCCTCAAACCGTAACATTCAAAATAATTCAAAAACTAAAAAAAAAAATTAGATACATTTTTATTTATAAAAAAAAATTATTCTTTTGGTGTAAAACACTTAGCTTGCTTTACATTTACATGTAGTAAATTCTTAAAATAGTTTATGATTGTAGCATTTTAAAATAGGCACGAAATTTTCCAAAAACATGGAAAGAAAAGATCTAAAGCTTCCATGGAAAATTTGTATGAATATAATCTCATATTTCATTTATTTGAAAATGTGAAACGAAAAAAATTAATATCCATTAATGAAAAATTTCTTGGAACTCTTAAGTATATTATAAAGCATTATTGCATCATTAAATTTATTGCAAAGAAAGTGAGAAGTTTTTCAAAGATTGTGTTTCGGACTGAAAGTACTAAGAAAGTTGCGTGGACCTATACAGATTGCCATATAAATATCCTACTCTTCCATACTAGTATTATGGGTTTCTTAATAGTAACTAAGATAAAGTAGTTCCGCTTTCTCACAGTTCAAAATTCGTTATGATGTAATGCATTCAGAATATAAGCTTTCTCATAAATTTTGTTACAGAAACTGAAAAAAATAAAAGAATGAGCTCAACTCCAGGTTCTAAAAACAAACTTATAATTATTGTAGTGTTATATAAATCTTATGCTTGTAAATCCAGAATATAAACTTTCTCATAGATCGGGGGTCTGTCCAGACATTTTGTGAAGGGTCCGTTTTTGTAAAATTGTGAAAAAATTACTCGTAATTTGTGACTATAAAATAAGCGTTAAGTCTCATTCTTTCAACCAGGGTCCGCTTTCGTGAATTTGTGCAAATAGGGTCCATTATTGCAAAAAAAACTTTTTCAAGGAGTTTTTAAATTGTAAAGACATACAAGATTATGCTCAACACAGTAATAAAAATTATAATTAGAAAAATTAAATTTTAAAAAATAAACAGCAATTGCAGCTACTAAAGTAGCGATGCAACTTATAAATATTTGGTATTTAGTCTATACTGCTGAACGCAGAATATTAATTTCGGACGAATAAAGGCAGAAGCGTCTGCCGAAGACAAAATTTAGTTCGTTTACATCTGTCTTTCTACCCCCCCCCCCTTCCAGGGAAGGGTTTATTCGATAACAAAACTATAATGAAGATTAACGAATGTGAAGAGTCCGTTAACGAACCCAAATTTCTTCTAAACAGATCCCTGTAAATACAACAACGAAAATTAAAATGAATAAAAATAATTCTCAATTCTAGGAACAAATTAATAATTCTAGTAGTATGTAATAAACTCGACCGTTCTGATTCTATGATTTATTAGTAGGAGCAGAAAAATGCCTTATCATAAATATAATAAAGAAAACTGAAAGAAAATAAAAAGGAAGAGTTCACAATTCTACGAACAAACTCAAAGTTCTTGTGGTATACAATAAAATCTATATATTTAAAATAAAAATATCATTTAGTTACCTTCAACGAGTAAAAAATATCCCTTTGAGTTTCTGCTAAGTAATTTTATGGCCTTTTCTGTCATCTCTGTTAATGTGGGATATTCCTTATTAAGGTGTGGTCGCTCTGTTATATATGGTAGATGATCTGTATGGAACAGTCCTAAAATAAAAGGTATATTATTTAAAACCTGAAGTTAATATCCTTTATTACAATAATGCAGAAGAATGTAAGGAAGTTTTACAAATTGCCATATATCAAATTAAATCTGAACGAGGGTAAATTCAAATGTTTACAATATTTATGCATGCTCGATCTGTTATTCCATATCATCGCCTGAGGTGCTGAAATTTATTTTATTTGAAAAGTTTGTCTTAACTATATCACTTTTACTAACCAAAATTTCTTGAGAATCTAGATCGGCGTAGACGCTCTATTCAGGAGGTTTTACACATCCCCTAATAAATCTACTAATCTTAATTTTCTTAACAAGAACGATACGGAGAAAACTCCATTCAGCAATTCATGTCTCCAGTTCCGCAAAGAGAATTACAAAAATCTCACTAATAACCAAAAAACTGCTAACAATATAGTCAAAAGTTAAACAATGTACTCAAATGGTTTGTGTGCTTCTGCTGTGCGAGCGTGTTTTACAACGCATTCTTGGATAATAAAATGAAATCTAGCGTAATAAGGGAGGCACTGAAATTTACAACGAGTTCACGTGAGTCAAGTAAAATTTTAACCAAAGTAAAAATTTTACGGTACTTCTAAGATTGAAATTATGAATAAAATATATCAAAAAGGAAAACGATCCAAAAATTAAAATGTAAAAAAGAAGATAGAAATATTAAGGGAATAATTACAAAAACTTAAGTAAACAATAGTTTAAATTAAAAAATAGCAAAACAAAAAAAGAACAAAAATGCAACCTTTTTTACTTAACTGTAGGAATTGCAATTTTAAAACAATTTTTAAGTATCCTACCCATTAAGTAGTCTATCTGCTCAGGTTGAATTTCTCTTAATTCTTGGGCATCATAGATGAGCTTATACGCGGCGTTTGCAGCTTTTTTATCTTCTTCCCATTCCTTCAAGAGATCTCGTGAGTCAGTTCTTTGGCCTTGTTCCCCATCAACATCGAATTGGCCAGTGGGAATAAAGTGTTTTCTCCCACCCCCCAATATGACCTATAAATAACAAGGATAGGTTTATTTATACACCAGTATTCAAACGCAAATTTTGAATTGATATTTTTCTAAGTAAAATAATCACTAAAAGGGCTAACGCTTAATTCCCCTAGTGTTATAATTAATGAGAAAAATCTTAGTTTTGTTATTGATTTCAGCAGATAACTAAAAAACTGAAAATTCTTCCGAAACGAACAACATTGTTTGCTTTAGTGATTTTTTTAATTTTTTAGTGATTTTAATTATTAATAATGTATTAATTTATATATACATATATATACATATACAATGTATTAATTTATATATACATATATATATACTCATACTCACCATGTTCTATTGATATGCTTTGCTTTGGCTATATTAATACAATATTAGACAACACTATTTTTTCGGATATAATTGTGTGAGCTGATGACAAGATTATATCTTTTCCCAATTTTAATTTCATTTTCAATTTTTTTTTTAATTTTAAATTTTTTTTAAATTTGTGAATATTTTTTAAAAACATTTTTAATAATTTTCAACTAATGGCTGAAAATCCTAAGCCCTAATGCTCCTGACGATTTGTGTTTCGATTGCTAGGACCCCGATTTGAAAGTTGGCATATTGTTCAAAAAGCTTCTTAAGCTACTGTTCCTAATCTGAAATGAAAACCATACTTGAACACTGGCTCTTTATTGCGTTTGAATGCCAAAAATTTTAAATATGACTGAACTTAATTTTTAATTAAAATTATTTTTTAATTAAAGTTTTCTCGGTTTCTTTAGTTTCGTTTTCTTTTACTTCAACATTCTAGATTCCTGCAGATGTTGTTCTATATTCGAACTCTGGTTAATTTTTTATTTATTTAACAATAAGATTTATTTTTATGTTAGGTAAACATTTTCTGACGATTTACATAATTTAAAGTATGTTTTCAAATATTTCAATTTATGTTCCGAAAAGTGTTGAAAATGATTACTTAATGGATAGAGAGGATAATAAAAAAAAAAATTAAAAAAAAAAAACATTTACCCACATGTACGTAACTGAACTGTCTTAAACTATAATTATTTTTACTATTCAAGAAATTAAAAGATGGTTCATATAAGTTTTTACATTGAAAGTTAACAAGCTTCCATAACATTTTTAATGAATATTTTAAGTTAAACGTCTTTTTGTTTTTATACTTCCATAACACATAAGATTGAATTTTGTAAATGCGTTTCTGTTCATTTTAATTATCGGCTAATATTTTGTAAAAGTTGTAAGTTTTAGGTCAGTAAACAATTTGTTTTGTCTTTAAGAAGATGCAATGAAATCTTAATTGCGGAAGGTGTCAGGTCTCTTTAGTAATCCACCTTATGCAAATCAAATTTACAGCTGAAATATTTTAACTAGCGCCGCGATTTTTCTAAAAAGAGATAACGAGAAGATTTCAAAGCAAATAGTTGTATGAAATGTTACAGTTATATACGTTCTATAATTTGTTTTATCCTGTATCGCTCTGTTCTCTCTTAAATTAATATTTGCAATCGTTTATGAAAGTAGGACAATGTCCGAGTATAAATTTTCAACTGAACTTAAGTAAAGATAAGAAGAACAGCGGCAAATCGGAACAGACTTGTAAACAATTCTATATTTTGTTTACCTGCACAATATTTATTACTGCAGAAAACATTTGCGTGACGAGATGGCAGTAAAATTATATAACTACCAGTCTGTCTTGTTATCAACGTACTACCATGGCAAAGAGTAGAACAGAAAAAAATAAAACATGAAATAAAGAATATATAACGTAAGAATTTTTTTCTTCTCTGGTCTGGCTACAGTATTATGTGCTTTACCGTGAGTTAGAAATATTCTTAACCAATAGGCCAATTACATGGAGGCGTCGCTCTTGTGTAATGGAAGCATATATTTTTTCAAATTACACACCTTGTTTGTTTATTTTTTTTTTATTTAACTAATACAAAATTAAAATTTTTGAAACTTTTGAATACATAATTTTAATATTAAAAATAGTTCAAAAATAAACTTAATTAGGTAAATAGTAACAAAGAAACAAGAATAAAAAATATCTTTATCGGAATGTTTTACCAGGACGAGAATTCGCGGTTTGTGAGATCAAACTTACTGTATTTTACTGCAAACAGAAATAAGCACTCAAAAATTTGACAAAATTACTTGGCACATTGTTATGTAGCATTGAGAATGTGTATTTTAAACTTCACCTCTTCTTTTTTTTTCACTCATTTGCTCATCAACTCCAAAGAATGTTTCTTTTAATTTTCTATAAATAGCGTAATAAGTTTAAAAAGAGCACAACAACAATTTCGGACTTATCATTTGCTAGATTCGCACTTACTCTGGCATTTTTGCCGGGTTCATCGTGAATTAACTGTTGGGCAATGTCAATACACCTTGAATCTGGAGCCGAAGATTCCCAATCTCGTGAAGCTGTATGAGCATAAAGTCCTGAAGGTGTGGCGTGGGTCACTCTTGTAGATGTTACAAAACCGGTCCATTTACCTGCATTGAATAGTGCAATCTATTTCTTGTAAATAGATAAGTTAATAACAATTCATTCATTGCCATTATTAATTATCTTATTATTAATTTTCCACGGATGTTTTTAAATACCAGAGATACTTAGTTATACTATAGATAAAATCATTTAATTTCAAAATAAAGAGTGTATTTTGATCACCGCCCTATATATATTTTTTAGAATATTGGTAAAAAAAAAAGTAAATTTAGTAAGCATGTTAGGAATCTTAAATCAAAATTTATACACAATAAAAAAATAACAATGGAATCCAAACTAAAAATTAAAATTATTGTAGACAGAATTAAAAATGTCATTACCAGTTTGATTCTCTGATGAAACTTGTAGTTGTTCTTAAAATCACTTTTAACTCTTAGCAGTTTTCGCTAGCAATCAAAGAGGTCTTAATGTCCCCTTTCCCATTAACATTTCGAAGGGTTTTTTTCCAGCTTAAATATTAATAAACCTCCCATGCTCCTAAAATTGTTTCATTTTTTAGAAGACTTTAAAAACTTAAAAGGCCGGTAATTATTTAACACTTAACAATCTTATGAATTTTATGAATACTTTAGTCTAACTTATAAATAGTTTAGTCTAACTTTACTAAACTTATCAATTTCATGAATACTTTAGTCTAACTTATCAATACTTTAGTCTAACTTTACTAAACTTATCAATTGTTTGAATACTTTTGTCTAACTTATCAATACTTTAATCTAACTTTACGAAACTTATCAATTTTATGAATACTTTAGAAAAGTTTTTACGCATGGTTACATTCAGAAATTTTAAGAGCCTGTAAACAACAGGCAACAAGTAATTGTAGAATCTTTTGATTATTTTTTTTAAAAAATTTGTTGAGGAACACATTAAAATGCTAATAGTTGTTCTCATGTAAAAAAAGTGAAGAATTAATTACAAGAGCTGTTTGTTACCTGCTTGCTGGGCCCATTGCATTATGGAATAAACATGGTTGCTTTTATTTAGAGCTGATTCACAATTTTCATACAAGACATTTCCATCTACTCCAGCTGTTCCATAGTTTCCTTTAACTCCACAAAGATATGCTGTCGCTGTGTTGGCAGAGTCAGAGAGTTGCCTGTCCACCCCATAGGTCTTCAGGAAACAGCACATATAAAGAAAACAATTGATAGTTAATTGATATATTATTTATTTAATTGACTTGTACAGTGATCATTGTTTTTTCTTTATTGTACGAGTCTACTTGACATTATTTGAAATCTTCTCTAAATTTGATAGAAAGCAATGATAGATAGAAATGGTATGAAAACGAAACTTAAAGGTCATGCATACGCAAAAAAAATATATTAAAAATATACTCTTACTTGCGGTGATAATTTATACAAAAATTATAAAAAATAAATCGAATGTAAAGGCTATGTACTCACAAAAAAAACTAAATCCAATTCAAATTAAAAAATAATTAATTAATTAAAAAATAATTTCACGACTTAAATAATAACTTCATAAATTAAAAAAAAACTTTATCTAATTAGTTCAGTGTCGTCAATTAAAGATAATTTTATTTATTTATTCATTTATTTATTTTAAATTTGAGTTAGTAATGACTTTAACCTTGTAATTGGCCACACACATTGTTTGTATTTAATTAATAAAATTTTCAGTTCTGATTGTATACTTAGATTGTTTAAAGCTATCTTAGGAATTAAAACTTTTGCGGTAGCCTGAGCACCGACGCAATAACTTTTTAACAATTACATTTACACTAATCAGTTGCGTCTGATTGATAATAAAAAAAAAACTTAAATTATTTAAAATAATTTATTCGAAGTTGTAACAAAAAAAGAGGAACCCTATTACTACCTATACCTAAACATAATAATAATACCTATATGATCACCTCGATTAAATATTTTTAGAATCCTTGCCAAAAATGATGGGGAAAAAATACCTTCATTAGGGGCCGCATTATATTTTTATATGCATAGGCACATAGTTTTAAATGCATATTATGCACATATTTTTATATGCATATTATGCATCTATTTTTATATGTATATTATTTTTAAGCAAGGAAAAAAAACGCTATGGAAATCCATGGAATAGAGAAAGCTATAGAATAGAGAAAAAAGGAACTAAAATAGCAAAACACGTTTGATTGGAAATAGAGGGGAGTAGAAAATTTATTATTACGAAAACTTCAGGTTTTATCAGGCAATCAAACTGGTTTTGATTTCTCTGGTTCAGCATAACTTAAGAGATTCGTTAGATTCTATTTTTTTTCTTCGTCAAACATTAATTTATAGACTTCTTCCTAATGTGTATACTTCTTTGGTTTTTAAATATACATATTGAAAATGGTTATTATGGAATATCCTGTATAACTGGTGATTAATTTTTTTCATTTAGTATATTTTTCATTTAGTATAAACGTGAAAGAAACTCATGCTTAGTTCATTGCTTATAAGTAAAGTTAGTTTTTAAAGCTAAATGAAACTCTAACATCAATGCGTATGTTTGCACCTATATTAAATAACATAAAAACAGCAATATTTGTTCTACAAATCGTCATTTGTGTCATTTAAAATGATGAAATGACAAAATTGAGATGAAAACAAATTATCTACTACGTCTAATAATCATTTTCTACTACCTTTAAGTTTGGTTACCTTTACCATGTCTATCTAAATGCTTTGACCCAAAATTGAATCTCGAAGTTAAAATGCTTTACTAAAGACGTTTATAAATGTCATACTATTCGAAATTTTCTGTTATCATAATCGAAATTATAATGCAAATTTATTATTCATCAGCCATTTTCTTTACTATTAGTAATTTAGGACAATTTAAATTTTAAAATGCATTTTAAATAATTTCCCTAATGGTAATATGTTACTTTCATATAAAATAAGATATATTATTACATTCAAAATAATAATTTGATAAAAAGCGATTTTGAATAGTGTTAAATTAAGAAAATGAGGAACTAGATTGAACTGGATAATATTCACAGATTTTTAAAGTGTAAATTTCAGTTAGTTTGACTCGTAATATATGCCAGATGTAAATATAGTGCTGGATGAAAAATTGATATATTAACAACAAAATATTTAGGAAAAATAAAGCACAAAAAATATTTTTTTTATTCAAGAAATTACTTTTCGTCTACCAGCAGCATCGGGGGAACCATATAAGTGGATAAGTGTCACTCTAACAACACAAGAAAGACTGATAAAACTGAAAGATAAATCACACCCATGTCGGGTCTCTAACCCGGAATCTTGCTGATACGAGGCGAACTCCTTGACCATACACGCTGCTCGGCGTCAACGTCACTTTATTTTCGATTGTCTAATCTTCATTCTAGTTAACAATCTCCCACAATGCACTACTATAAGGTTCCATAATTGAGGAAACATTTTCATTATATATTTGAGAATTCTCTTTTCGTCCCAAATCACATGATTTCATGACGAAATTATTCTCAAAATTAACGAAATACAGCTCAAAGATTAATGAATCGTCAAATGTGAGAGTTTAATTTCTGAGAGTGCCCCTTGAATCATTAAGAATCATTTCATTTCTGAGAGTGCTCCTTGAATCATTTAGTTCGTGAAAAACAGTTAATTTGATCGAAAGTTTTATTTGCTTTTTATTTCGTGAGCTGTCTATCGAAAGGTACTTAACGTAGCAATTGAAAATTGTAAAAAGAGATGTCATTTGGCAGTCTGTTACGAAATTCTCGAGTGATAGGATCGGCAGCTGTATCAATGACATGCAAGTTTCATGCTTACGTTTGTATCTTAACAGTTTATAAGTAGAAAACATAAAAATTGGAAAAACACAAACCTTTGACAATGAGACATGTGGAAATCTGTCGAAAGATAATAATTCAGTTTCTCCACTTTGATTTTTCTTCTGACCTTTGTAAATGCGCATGGATGTCACAGTCGGAAGGCCCATGCCATCACCAAGAAAGAGGATCACATTTTTGGCAACATTTTCGTTCTTGTGAAGTAGCAAAGTTTCAAGGAGAGTCCTTTCAGCATTTTTTCGCCAAAATTCTGGATTTTCTGGAGGAAAAATGTATATAATCTGTTTAGAAGAACTTAAAAACGGATCCTTCACAAAATAATTTGTCTTTTAATCGGACCCTTCACAAATTCACAAAAAAGCGGACCCTGGTTGAAAGAATGTGACTTAACGTTTATTTTATATTCACAAATTGCGAGTAATTTTTTCACAATTTTACACAAACGGACCCTTCACAAAATGTCTGAACAGACCCCTGATAATAAAGTCCTTCTAATTATATGATTAACGTAAAACGCTAGAAATCTTTTTTTATATTTGGAAAGATTAAATAGCATTATAACATAACATTATTACAAGACGAAATATAAAAAGATAGATAGTACGTCAGAGCATTTATGTGAAAGAAAGAAATTAACAATCAAAGTAAGCAATAACATTAATTGAAAATTAGAAGGTAAGGTTATTACACGGACAAAACATTCTGGTAAAACAACCGGACTGCATAGTAATGATATTTCTGGTAAAAAAAAATATTATCTAAACTAATTTTTCCATTTATATGAAAACAGTTAAAAGGGAATTCTGGTTTTCAAAATCACAGTTCTTATTACCATACATTTTGGTAAATAATACAAAACTGAAAAGTAAGTTTAGCCGATTAAATGGTTCAAATACCTCAAAAAAAAGTTTTTGGATAATATACATACAGTCATTACATTCAGAATTTGTTTCTAAAATAATTTTAAATTCATTTATATGTAACAATTCATTAAGAGACTAAAGAAATTAATTAATTTGATAACTTAATTTTATCAAACAATACTTTTATTTAGATTAAAGAATTTTTTAAACAATTTTTTAATGTAAACTTCGTTAGAACAAAATATTTTTCAAAACTCTAATTAACTTTTATTAAGTCACGTATTTAAAAGTATAGTGGTACTATTAAAATTTTAAGTTAAAAAAAAAAGCGAAATTGTATAATTACACTACACGTCTCGCATTCTTAGTTCGCAAAGATATAGTGTTTTGTGCGCTTCAAAAATTATTACCAAGTATATTATATAAAAATAGCAATAATTAGTTAGTTTGAAGAACTCTTATAGAAAAGAAGAAACTTCTCGAACAGTTCAGCCGTGATTGAAAGTTGTATACTATTGTTGTTGTATAGTTGTATACTTAGTATTTTATTTACAGCAAACGAAAGTGCATGAAATCATTACAGGAAGTGAGTTGATATGATTTTAAATTATAATTTTTTTTTACAATTTTTATCCTTTTCTTATGGATATATGGACTTGCAGCAGTTATTTTAGTTATTATATGCAATATTTGCTCAAAATTTCGTAAGCCTAGCTGAAATACATATGTCTGGAGATGTAGCCATTTTTATAAAACCTAATTTTTTCTGTCTTACGTATTTTTATATAATTTTAAAAATATACAATAAAATTGGAAATTTTTTTTAGAGCAATTTAACATTAGTTACAAAATTATTGCTTTAAAATTTGAAAAAGCTAGTTGAAAACTGCGCAAGATATGAGTAATTAAAGTAGTTCTTTTATACTGCGCATGCATAGGAAAAAAATTGAATTTTTTTTCTTAATTTTAGTAGAAAATCGTATTAGGCAACTGATAAAAAATTTTCGATTTGAATATCTAAAAAATTTAAAAGGTTTCAAGTAATTTTCTAAGTAATTTTTGTAATTTTTAAGGAAAACTCAGAATAATAAGGGGTTTTCCACAAATTTCCTTTTGTACTATTAAATAAGATTTATTGAAAATGACACTGACATCATAAGGAATCATCCCTATAAAAGTATCTTTTCTTCCACCTGTTTTCTTTCCTTATACAATCATTCTGTATAAGAACGTTTATTGTAAGGCATTATCATTTATTATTTAATTTTGTCTTATGATACAAATAATAATTGTGGCCTTATCATTTTGAGTTTCTTTTAAAAAGCACAAAAACTACTTCGAAAATTGCTTAAAACATTTTAAATTAAAACAATCAAAGACTATTTTTATTAGCTGCCAAATATGATTATCTGCAAAATTAAGAAGAACTACTTTAATTACTCATACCTTGCGCAATTTCAAAAAAAAAAATTTGATATTTTAAAGCAACAATTTTCTAATTAATTTTAAACTGCTCTCAAATTTTTTTTTCAATTTTATTGAATATTTTTAAAGTGTTAGCTCAAACACGTTAGACAAAAAAATCTGTTTTTTTTATTTATTTTTTTTTATAAAAATGTTGATATCTCCATAGATATGTAAGTTAGGCTTACAAAATATTGTGCAATTATTGCATATAATAACCAAAATAATTGCTGCAAGCTGCAAATTTTTGCATATGGTGTTCTAAATCATTATTTTCCGGTTGTCGTCCCTCAAACCTCTAAAAGCTTTAAACTTCATTAGTAAGTATGAAAAATCGCATGGTCTTATTAAGTGATTATTTAGGTATATCTTAAGAAATATGAAAAAATATATTAGTATAGAAGTGTTTCATATATACAGTCAAACCTCGCTAACTCGAACCTCGATTTCACGAATTCTTCGATATCTCGAAGGAAAAAAAATTCCCTTCAAATTTCCTATACAATCAATGTTAAAAAAAAACTTGATTTTATGAATTTTTTTTCTAATTTGAATTTTTTTTTCATAAATAGTGTAGATTTTTTTTCCGAAAATAAAAAAAATACTCCAAAAAAAATAAAAAATTTTAAGAATAAAAAACCAATTCTCATTGTACACTGTAAGACTGTGGACTTTGTAAGGAGATTTATTGAGAGGCAGAATATGTCAGAGGAGACATTTAAAGCTATAGTCCACTTAGAAAGTGTTACAGAGAAACTTTCTTACGCATCTCTAAAGCAAACAACAATTGAATCTTTTTTTAAATGAAAGTGTAAAAAGTGTTTTTAGAATAAATATGGAATGTATTGTAAATAAGGTATGCAAAGAGCATTTTTCTTTATTCTACCATCGATNAAAACGGACCCTTCACAAAATATTTTAACTTAAAAACGGACCCTTCACAAAATAATTTATCTTTTAATCGGACCCTTCACAAATTTGTTTATCTTCATTATTGTTTTTGTTAATCGAATAAACCCTTCCCAAGAAGGAGGGGGGGGGAAGAGAGACAGATGTAAACTAACTAAATTTTGTCTTTGGCAGACGCTTCTTCCTTTATTCGTCCGAAATTAATATTCTGCGTTCAGCAGTATAGGCTAAATACCAAATATTTGTATGTTGCATCGCTAATTTAGTAGCTGCAATTGCTGTTTGCTTTTTAAAATTTATTTTTTTAATTATAATTAAACAGTGTTGAGCAAAATCTTGTATGTCTTTACAATTTAAAAACTCCTTGAAAAAATTTTTTTTTGCAATAATGGACCCTATTTGCACAAATTCACAAAAGCGGACCCTGGTTGAAAGAATGTGACTTAACGTTTATTTTATATTCACAAATTGCGAGTAATTTTTTCACAGTTTCACAAAAACGGACCCTTCACAAAATGTCTGGACAGACCCCTGATAATAAAGTCCTTCTAATTATATGTTTAACGTAAAACGCTAGAATTTTTTTTTTTATATTTGGAAAGATTAAATAGCATTATAACATAACATTATTATAAGACGAAATATGAAAAGATAGATAGTACGTCAGAACATTTATGTGAAGGAAAGAAATTAACAATCAAAGTAAGAAATAACATTAATTGAAAATTAGAAAGTAATGTTATTACACGGACAAAACATTCTGGTAAAGCAACCGGACTGCATAGTAATGACATTTCTGGTTAAAAAAAAAAATTATCTAAGCTAGTATTTCCATTTATATGAAAACAATTAAAAGGGAATTCTGGTTTTCAAAATCACAGTTCTTATTACCATACATTTTGGTAAATACAAAACTGAAAAGTAAGTTTAACCGAATAAATGGTTCAAATACCTCAAAAAAAAAAGGTTTTTGGATAATATATATACAGTTGGATTTTTCATTACATTCAGAATTTTTTTCTAAAATAATTTTGAATTCATTTATTTGTAACAATTCATTAAGAGACTAGAGAAATTAATTAATTTGATAACTTAATTTTGTTAAACAATGCTTTTATTTTGATTAAAGAATTTTTTAAACAATTTTTTAATGTAAACTTTGTTTACATTAAAAAATTGTTTTCAAAACTCTATTGTTTTTCTAAATTGTTTTCAAAATTTTTTTCAAAACTCTAATTGACTTTTATTCCGTCACATATTTAAAAATATAGTTGTACTAGTATTAAAATTTTAAGGAAAAAAAAGCGAAATTTTATAAATACATTCAACACGTCTCGCATTCCTCGTTCGCAAAGATATAGTGCTTTGTGCGCTTCAAAAGTTATTACCGAGTATATTATATAAAAATAGCAATAATTAGTTAGTTTGAGAAACTCTTATAGAAAAGAAGAAACTTCTCGAACAGTTCAGCCATGTTTGAAAGTTGTATACTATTGTTGTTGTATAGTTATATAACTTAGTATTTTATTTACAGCAAAGAAAGTGTATGAAATCATTACAGGAAGTGAGTTGATATGATTTTAAATTCAAATTTTTTCTTACAATTTTTATCCTTTCCTTATGGATATATGGACTTGTGGCAGTTATTTTAGTTATTATATGCAATAATTGCTCAAAATTTCGTAAGCCTAGCTAAAATATGTCTGGAGATGTGGCTATTTTTATAAAACCTAATTTCTTCTGTCTTACGTTTTTTTATATAACTTTAAAAATATACAATAAAATTGGAAATTTTTTTTAGAGCAATTTAACATTAGTTACAAAATTATTACTTTAAAATTTGAAAAAAACTAGTTGAAAACTGCACAAGATATGAGTAATTAAAGTAGTTCTTTTATACTGCGGAAAAAAATTCAATTTTTTTTTCTTAATTTTTAGAAAATCGTGTTTGGCAACAAATAAAAAATTTTCGATTTGAATATTTTAAAAATTTAAAAGGTTCAAGCAATTTTCTAAATAGTTT